AGTACCCTTCTGCCTGAGAGCCTTTGGTTGAGCTGGCTGTTTTTTCCTCTTGGATGCCCTTCCCCAAGATACCCTCTTAGCTAACTCTCTCGCCAAGTTCAAGTCTTCCTCCATGAGTTCACTCCCACCATACTCTTGTTCTCCTTGCCCTGGTCTACCTTTTCTTTTTTCTAAGGTATTAACCACAATCTAGTAACACTTGCGTAGGATGCTCTTTAAAAAAATTTCTTTGTCTCCAGCTTCTAGAATGTAAGCCCTGCAAAGGCAGAGATCTTAATTTGTTTTGCTCATTGTTCACCCACAACAGCTCCTGGCACATAGTTGGTGCTCAATAAAAAGTTGTTGACTGAATGAATGGGAGAAAAGGCTTCTAAGAACAAACAGAGAAACTAGAGAAACACAAGATTGAGGCTGGAGGAAGAAACTAGAAAATGAGCAGTGACCAACACCTTTTTAGATTGGTGATTATTGATACTCTAGAGAATTGAATGAAAGGAGATATACCTTCTCATAAAAATGCACATGCACATTTTGGACATAATTTCAGGGGTTCATAGCCACACTCACCTACTCCTGAAGCCCACTCATAGACTCTCAATCTTCAAATTAGATCTAACTAATAAATCATTAACCACACGCTTCCTAGCATTATAAGAAACAGCCCAGTGAACTGGTCACCATGTTCATTTTAAGATGTTGTTACTCACTTTGCAAAGTGTCCTTTCATTGGGACCCACAGATAAGATTTTTCTTTGATTTTAGGACCACCGATAGCTATTCCCATCTGCCTCTTTGGCACTGCCCTGATTTTGATCTTATGAAAATTCTAAGTCATGTCGCCAGTTATGTGTCTTTTCATTGCACTGAGTTCCTGGTAACTCGGGGACAAATTTGAACCTACTTCTGTTTAGTTTATAGAATGTATTTTATGTGTCCCCATTCTTGGCTCTACCTGACTGGCCTACCCTGAGTATTCCCTTTGCTTCCTTTGTTTTTCTTACCCATTTTTAGTATTTTACCTTTTGTGAAGCTTTATAGGCTACCCTACTGAATCAGTAAAATAAATACTCTTATTAAAGTCCCTCCCGATTGCTCTACTCAGATTTATAAGACTGTAGGTTGCTGCTGGGAGCATACTGATTCACAATCCCACCTGCCACCTCTCACTCTGCCCTCAGTTGAAGCCATGGGAACAGCTTTTCTGCCTTGGAGAACAATACTTAGCAGACACAGAGAAACACCTAGGTTTGTGGGTTTTCTCTTTTCTTGGGGTAAGCCAAGTTTAATCTTCTCTCAGTTCACTAAACCAGCTCCCCTCCTGCTTTCGTTATCAGCTTGACTCCACGAGAATTCAACTCCTACGGCTCCCGCCGAGGTAATGACGCCATCATGGCGCGGGGGACATTTGCCAATATCCGCTTATCAAACAAATTCTTGAACAAGCAGGCACCACAGACTATCCATCTGCCTACTGGCGAAATTGTGAGTATTGTGTCTTCTACTTCATTAAGAAGCCAGAATTTCTCAGGCTCTGGGTGGGTGGATGTTTGCACCATCACTTTCCTTTTGGTCTTATTTTTATTTCACAGCTCATCCTACCTCTTGCTTTGTACAGTCCCTCTTGCCAGGTGTCCATGTATATAGAGTTCATCCTTGATGGAGAGGCCCTTTAAACTGGGAAAGCTTTTCCTGCTTAGAGATTCTGCTTCATGCTTTAACTAAGTCTAGTTTCCTAGGAGTTGAGCTTAAAAACCTCTGAGTGAAATTTCATCAGTTCAGAGTACTTGAAGGGGAAATTCCAGGTTAAGGTGCAGGATATTTATTAAGAAGTGCTATTTTATTGGGTTGGCCAAAAAGTTCGTTTGGGTTTTCGGTAGCCTCGTATGGAAAAACCCGAATGAACTTTTTGGCCAACCCAATATAACTTTAATAGCATCTAATTCATTTACCATATCACTAGGAAAAGAAGGAATGTACGGGATTGTGCAGGCCTGCTTGGGTCCTAATGGGAACCATTTGGAGTTGGCATATTACAGCTGGAATTGTCCGTTCACAGATGGCAGGCATATGAGAGGTGGGGAAGCCTGTACTTTAGGTCAGACAAGCCTGGGTTCAAGTCCCAGCTCCACCTCATATCAGCTGTGGAGCCCTCAGCAAGTTATCTCCCTCTCTGAGCCTCATTTTTCTTACTTGAGAAGTAGAAATAATATCTACTTTTTAAGGCTCTGAGGCTTAACCTTGAATGGAATGACACGTAAAACACCTAGCATAGCATCTGGCACAGCAGTAGGTCCTCAGGGTCACTTCCCTTCCCAGTGAATGCTGTGAAACCGCATGAAAACTGGTTAAGCTACTTAAGAAATAACCCTCACAAATTATTTTAAAATGATAATGGCCAAATACGTCTGTGGAACTTACTCCATCCCAGGTGCTGTTCTAAGCTCTTTGCATATACTGACTTGTTCAATCCTCATAACAACCCTTTGAGGAAGGTACCATAATTCTCCTTGTTTTAAGTTGGCAAGTGGAGCCTAGAGAGCTCATGTAACTCCCTAAATTCACAAGTCTGAGGAGCTGAGATTAAAACCCACAGGGTCAGGCTCTGTCCGAAGTCAGCGCTCTTTACCACCAAACACACTGCCTCACTTGTAACTGGTTCTATGTCTGAAAAAGCAAATTCATCATAGATACTCTGATCACCAGGATCCAGCACAAAGTCAGTGCCCAGGAGATATTTGTTCAGTGAATAGCAGGGATGATAAACTATTAAGTGAAAAAGATACAAATAAATGGTAAAATCCCCGAGAGATGAAGGGGAAGGACTTGCAGCTACAGACTTTGGAGGCCTCCAGGATACTGACTGTCACAATGAATCTCCCTCATTTACAGCCCTGCCATTGCACAGAACTCCTAGTCAGTTGCTTAGTGCCTCAGCTTAAATAAGGAGACAGAATGAGAGATGAAGAAACATTTGAGTCAGGCCTTGAACTTGGAAGACAGACAAAGAACAGAGGAATATAAAGGACAACAGACAATGCAAAGAGTAGAAGAAAACTAAGGAAAACAACTGTCTCCTCAGAGTGATAAGAGATAATTTTCTGTTGCTGTAATCAGAAGACAAGAAAGAGCTCCTTAAAAAAAAAAAAAAAAGCCCCTAAAATTTCACAGGAAAAGTTGATTAGTTGAGAATATCTTCTAGAATATAGAAAGACAAAGGGGAAATTAGAAAATGTAAGAAAATTAAAGACTGAACTGAGGAGGGCCAACATCTGACTGAAGAGAGATGCTAAAAAGAACAGACAAGATCTGAGAGGAAATTATTAGAGAATTAACACAAGAAAATTCCTCAGCTGCAAAATCTGAGATTCCAGATTTAAAGGTCCACTGAGTGCCCAGCCACATGATTAAAGAAGACCCACTCCAAGTGACATCATTATGAAATTAAGACAGCAAAGTTGGGAATTCCCTGGCGGTCCTGTGGTTAGGACTCCGCGATTTCACGGCTTGAGGGCCTGGGCTCGATCCCTGGTTGGGGAACTAAGATCCCACAAGCCGCGCAGCATGAACAGCAGAGGCAAGGAGATCTAGAAACTTCAGAGAGGGAAAAACAGCTTATGTGCATTGTCCTGGGGATCAGGCGCGCTCACAGCAGCCCAGGAAACAGACTGAGGAAAGTTATTGGGACCCTAAAATCTGTGTCCCTCATACTTCCAGCCAAGTGAGATTAAAGTAATAACACATTCAGATATTCAAAAACTTTAAAAATACCCTTAGTCCCAGTCTCAAGAAGCTACTTAGTAAATGTATTACACCAAAACGAGGGAATAAACCAAAAAAAGAGGAAGATGTAGGATCCAAGAAAAAGAAATACAGGGAATCGACAGGATGTTGGGGAAAGAATAGGAATGCACCATGTCCTCAGAGAGCCATCAGTCCACACAGGAATGTTGGGTTCCAGGAGTGACACCCCATGAAAAAGATTTTTAAATTAGATTGCCTGATAGATTTGAATGTCTTTAGAGAAGACTTGTATTGATACTTTAGGCAGTGCATTTGGGAATTAATTAACAGGTAGGGACACAGAAATAGGTGAGCACACATGCAAAAAATTTATTCCGGTGGAAAAAAAATTTTTTAATTGCCAAGAAAAGGAAATCAGAGTATATTATATGGCTCAGCTATAAGTGGCATTTACATAATCAAAATGTATGACAATGATACTAGAAGGCCGCGGAGAGTAGGGGGTGGGGGAGGGGAAGGAGCGCAGTGGTTAAAAGAACTAAATCATCAAAATAGGAAATTAACAATAAAAAAGGAGAAATGAAGAACTGGCTGATTAAATACTTAGGGATACAGAGGCACAATAACAGAAGAAACCACTAAATTTTATGTTTTCTTCAGAAGAGCGGGAGAGTACAGGAGCTGATGCTTTATAAGCTGCTTACTACTCTGTTTGGCTCATGTATGAGAAAAGCCAGGAGCTCGCAATTCTAGACCTGCTTAGTCCCACTCATCTTGGGTTCCAAGACCTGCTTTGCCACGGGATTGTCAGCTTTGCGGTAGTTTTGAAAGCACTTTAAAAAACACACACTCCCACAGTCTTAAATACAAAGCTACTAATAGATATCTCTGAAAATATCAGGTAGGTTGTTTCTTTCTGGTCTTTGAAAGGATCCAGGCTATTTGGCTAGGCCAGGCTTTCACTGTTTGTTTTTAACAGTTTGTTAAAACTGTTAAAACTGTTTGTTTTTAAACAGTTTCTATATTCATGCGCTCTATCCAGCTAAAGACATAACAGAATCCTACCCAGATTTAGGCGATGCCGTGTGACATCAACCACAGTCTCCATCCTTTCACCGCAGTAGCAATTTGTGAAAGCCTACTTGAGAATTTGATTAGACACCTTTCTAGAGCTCCTTTCAAATCAAATACTCCTTCTTTTGGACAGATCTTATTTTCTGACTTAAGTAGCCAGGAGAAAACAATGTTTTATTACTCACCAGCAATGATATCATCTCTTTGTGAAGTCTCAGCTCAGCAGAATATTCAGAGTTCCTGTGAGAAACAAATGAATCTATTTGTGTAAGATGTTTCTCATATATACTAAAAGATCCATTAATCCTTTCCTGTCCTTTATTGATTGGTGCTTCCATCAGTGTTTCTACTGTCTCTACCTTGACCTCCATGTAGAAGGGTGACAAATAAGAGTTTGCATTTTATGTAATTCCTGAACACATGACCTTCTTTCTGTTTGGCTACCCTTCACAACTGACCATCACTGAGCTTCTGGTACTCAGTCAAAACCCAGGTTTAGGTGGGATTCTCTGCTTTAGCTGTAAAGTATTTTAATCAATGGAAGAGTTTAAAAAAAAAAACTGATCTAATTTCCTATTTTTCCCCTGATGCCCTAGGATTTGAATGTTTTTCTAAAACTAGGATAATTAGGCGTTTCACTTAAGAGTATAAAATTCAATTTGATAGAGGTACGTAGATGGAGTTAACTGGAAATTTGTAGACCAGGCAACTGACTGGTTGAGTGTTCCATTGACTTTACGTTGGCTTGGCCGACTACAGACACTTCTGCCCCTGCATGTCCCACCAGGACTCACTGCCCTGTGTCCGCACTCTGTGCCTTTACTGTGTCTGTAAAACCTTCCTCTTCTCTTCCTCAGCTTGATGTGTTTGATGCCTCTGAGCGGTACCAGCAGGCGGGCCTTCCCCTGATAGTTCTGGCTGGCAAAGAGTACGGCTCAGGCAGCTCCCGAGACTGGGCGGCCAAGGGCCCTTTCCTACTGGTGAGTAGGATGCAGAGACATCCCCGCAGGCAGCTGCCCCTCTGAACCAGAAGGGAAGCTGGGAGGGAGGCCAGAAATAAAATGCTTTGCTTTACTTTCCAAGATGTAGAAGAGCAAAGCAAGCTCGGGAAAGCAGGGAACGTTTATTCATCTCCTGCTTCTTGGTAGATCAGGATTTACTTCACTGAGTGAAGGGTAATCTAGAGTTCACCGGCTTCCCTTAGATCAAACATTGCTATCCTGGGAGCTGTGGATCTTTGGGGGTGTCTACAGAACAGTTGGGGGGAGGGTCCCGAAGTCTATCCATCCAGAAGTGTGTAGTATGTGTCTTTTTTTTTTTTAATGGGGAAAGTTTCATGGTTTTCATAACGTTCTCAGAGGTTATCACCTGAAGTTTATTCAAGGCTCTTGTCCCAGGTGAATGTGAGGAATAATCTACTGCTACTGTATCGTCAGGTTCACAGAAGGGAAAAAGTAAGGAGCCTGAGCTTTGGATAAGCTCGGGGAATGCACTTTTTAACAGTTGCTTATCACTGCCTGTGAAAAGTCTGCATACAGGCTCAATAGAAAAGGAAGCCCTCTCTGTATGTAGACAGTCAGCTCTTTGGAACCTTCAGCCATTTCAGGGCTTGACCTGCGTCAGGTGTCCCTGTGGGAGGGGCCACGCAGGAACTTTTACCTCTCGAGCATTTGCTTGCCCTGAAAGCAGGGCACACTCCTGGTGACTGACTTTAATCCTCAGGATAGGGTAGAATAGCTTAGCTGATATTAATTTAAATAACGATGGCTCGAGCAAATCAATGCACTTGGCAGATGCTAAGTAAGTTGATATCCACAAGTACAGTAAAAAAAAAAAATATGGCTGTCTGGCAGGCAGCCCTCCAGACTCCCAGGCTTCTGAAAAATGTCTTTGAATATCACACCTATTTTTTTTTAGGCAATCAGTTTGCAGTGGGTGGGGGGGAGATGTTCTTATTGGTAATTTGTCAAAGGCCTGCCTTTTCTAGAAACTGCTGAAAAGAACCTAAGAAATTACAGAAGAAAGGATTTTAGGAAGGGAGCTGGGCGCTGCAGGGAGCAGTCAGGTGGGGACAGTGAGATCTGGGAAATAAGAAGAGACCTGGCACCGAGGGGCTCTCTAGAGGCTCGCTGGGCTGCACCAGCCACGAGACCAAAGAAGGAGCCCGGATACAGCGACAGAGACATCAGTGGTTTAATAGAGGGGGCCTCTTACACATCGGAAGCGAGGTCCTGGGGCAACACCCCACCATGTGCAGCAAACAGCAAGCAGGACACAGCAAGTCTTCCCTCCCCTGGGGGAGAAGGAGGCTACCATTTATAGGGGGGATTGATGTCAGGTTGGCTCATCAGTTACCAGGGAAACCAGCAGCTGGGGCCTGTGCCTCACAGCCCCTCAGGTTAACCACCACCACTAGGGCAGATGTTTCCCTTTAATAAGCTAGCAGGTGGGGCCGTTCTGACTTAAGGGGCAGGGGGCAAGCACATTCATGTGAGTAGGGCAGAGGTGAAGCAGGGACTGGTCGAGCAGGGGATGTACAAAGAGCAAGAGAACAGCCATCTTGAGGGGCCTGACCATACACGTCTAGACTTCTCTACAGAACTGCTCCAAGTTCTGTCTGCCCAGACAGCCGTACACACTTCATTCTGTAGCTGCCCAGCCTCGGCCACTAGGCAACCCCGGGCTGTCCTCATGCAGAGAGGGACAGACAGCTGTGATCTGCAGTGCTGCAAGGCCCTTTACACAGAGCTTGAGACGTGAATGACCTGTGTTTACAAAGATTACCACTTCCCCCAAAATAAGTATACAGTACATATATACATAAATCCATACAAAATATCTACTGTCCTAAAGAATCTGCCCTTCCTCTATAAATTTGCTTTTAAATTTGGAAACACCTTGAGATTTTAAAAAAACACCTGTGCCTGGATCTCATTCCCAGAGATTCTGGTTTAACTGGTAAGGGGAAAGGCCAGGACATCGGGCTTTTAAAAGTCTCCCCAGTGATTCTAATATTCAGCAGAGTTTGAGAACTACTGCTCTATAGCCATGGTTCTCCTAAATTAAAAGAATCACTATCTTCTCCCACCCATGCTCCCTGTTAGAGATTCTGATACAGTAGACCTGGGATAGTACCCATGAATCTACATTTTTTTAAATTAATTTTTATTGGAATATAGATTTACAATGTTGTGTCAGTTTCGACTGTACAGCAAAATTAATCAGTTATACATATACATATGTATAACTCTTTCTAAGATTCTGTTCCCATATAGGTCATTATATTGAGTAGAGTTCCCTGTGCTATACAGTAGGTTCTTACTAGTTATCTTATATATAGTAGTGTGTATCTGTCAATCCCAATCTCCCAGTTTATCGCCCTCCCTTCCCCCTTGGTAACCATAAGTTTGTTTTCCACATTTGTGACTCAAGAATCTACATTTTTAACAAGCTTCCTGAGTAACCCTGATTCAGGGGATCTTAAAAGTGTACCCTAGATATTGAGACCTTTTAGGGGTATCTTACTATTATATTACAGTTAACTAATATTTGAGGATGGGATATTCTAGTTAATCAAGTATCCTGGTTTATTGATCACTGCTGTACATTGCCAGTTATAGATCATAGTAAAATGTACTTTATTGGAAGCTTTATATCAAGATTATATTCAATGTAATTTGATCCCTGAGACAGGAAGTATAAAAGCAGCACACAGTAGGTAATCATTTACTTTCTCTGTAGTATGTTCTGAAAGTTGTGTTTTTATTAAATCTTCGGTGTCTGCTGATGCACCTACAATAATAGCAAAATTCAAGGGGAAAAATGAATTTTCTTTATGTTTCTTTGTGCTGAGGTTTCCAGATACAGTGAAAGTTTGCTGAGAAATGTTGTATCACAAAGTGGCTAAGTGTGTGGTTAGACTGCATGGGTTCAGATATTGGGTAAACCACTGACTACTAGGGTACAGGGGCACAATAATAGCGAGGGTTGGGGGAGGGTGGGAGGAGAGTTCATTTCAGCGCCTACATGCTGCCTACACAGTGCAGGCAATCAGTTAAGCCTGGCTACTGTGTTATTTATAACTAGCGGGCAACATTTTATGTAAACGATTAATTGGTACTTATGAAGAATTTAGGTGTGAGAAGAGTTCTAACTTACGAAGCCTTTGGAAAGTGTCTGTGTAACTAAAGAAAAACTGTCCAAACTACTCTGTTGGCTCATCAGGGAATCAGAGCTGTCCTGGCTGAGAGTTACGAGCGTATTCACCGAAGTAACTTGGTCGGGATGGGGGTGATCCCCCTCGAGTATCTCCCCGGGGAGAATGCAGACACCCTAGGACTCACAGGGCGGGAACGATACACTATCAGCATTCCAGAAACCCTCAAACCACGAATGAAAGTCCAGGTCAAGGTAAGTCGGCGCCTTTCCATGCCAGGCCCAGCTCAAAGGCCCTGTGTTCATCATCAATCGTGTTAGAAGGAAATCAGTGGGATTTGGAAGGAAAAATAAATCCCTCAGTAGACGTGCTTTAGACTTAGGAGATCTACTAGCACCTTTCTGACCTGCCAGCACAGTGATGCCACACTATGTCGGTTTATTATTTATTCTGTTTACTCATAGAGTCATCAGTTCCATCCTTCTTCCCAAACCTACCAGCCCCACTGTCTCCTGTTCCTCCCAATCTCAGCCCAGAGAACGGTGATGAAAGCTCAGCGATAGGGCATTTTCACATTACCTTAAAAACACCTTTTTAGGGGCTTCCCTGGTGGCGCAGTGGTTGAGAGTCCGCCTGCCAATGCAGGGCACACGGGTTCGTGCCCTGGTCTGGGAAGATCCCACATGCCGCGGCGCGGCTGGGTCCGTGAGCCATGGCCGCTGAGCCTGCGCGTCCAGATCCTGTGCTCCGCAACGGGAGAGGCCACAACAGTGAGAGGCCCGCATACCGCAAAAAAAAACCAAAACACCTTTTTGGGGCTTCCCTGGTGGCGCAGTGGTTCAGAGTCTGCCTGCCGATGCAGGGGACGTGGATTCATGCCCCGGTCCGGGAAGATCCCACATGCCGCGGAGCGTCTGGGCCTGTGAGCCATGGCCGCTGAGCCTGCGCGTCCGGAGCCTGTGCTCCGCAATGGGAGAGGCCACAACAGTGAGAGGCCCGCATACCGCAAAAAACAAAACAAAACACCTTTTTAGGGCTTCCCTGGTGGCGCAGTGGTTGAGAGTCCGCCTGCCGATGCTAGGGGACGTGGGTTCACGCCCCAGTCCAGGAAGATCCCACAAGCCGCGAAGCGGCTGGTCCCGTGAGCCATGGCCGCTGAGCCTGTGCTCCGCAACAGGAGAGGCCACAACCGTGAGAGGCCCGCATACCGCAAAAAACAAAACAAAACAAAACACCTTTTTAGGGCTTCCCTGGTGGCGCAGTGGTTCAGAGTCCGCCTGCCGATGCAGGGGACATGGGTTCATGCCCCAGTCCGGGAAGATCCCACATGCCGCGGAGCGGCTGGGCCCGTGAGCCATGGCCACTGAGCCTGCGCGTCCGGAGCCTGTGCTCCGCAGCGGGGGAGGCCGCAGCAGTGAGAGGCCCGCGTATCGCAAAAAAACAAACAAACAAAAAAAACCCACCTTTTTATTATAAACCTGTTAACAGACACACTCACCCTATCCCTGAGCCTCACCCCCAAGTGGCCGACTTTGATTAGTCCAAAGGTGAAAAAGACAGTGCCCTGGATGAGGTAAGGATGAAGAACCAGCACCATGGTCCCAGGGTGACCTAGCTGCCCAGGCAGACTAAGCTGCCGAGGGTGAGCAGCTGGGCCAGTGCCTAAGGGACAACCTTAATGAAACATCTGCTGGCTGCTGACATTTCCATACTCGGGCAGTCCCTGGAGGAAGTTTAAAAAATATCCCAAACGCCACTACTAGCTACTGCCCTGAGAGGCTATTTCTAATTCTCAGGTGTCTCTCACTTCCATCACTTATTCTCTGCAGTGCTTGCTTTACCGTGTAGATCAGTACACTGGGGATCTTGTTAAATAAAATGCAACTTACCGCTCAGCAGGTCTGGGCTGGGGCCAGCGTGCGCCTGTCCCCGGCACTGCCGGAGTGTGGACCACACTTGGAGGGGTAGCCTGAGGGCAGGCCGGGCAGGATGTCTCTGGAAAGGGCTGGCTCGCTTCCTCCCTCAGCGATTCTTCTCTGCTTCTTTGTCCTCCCAGCTGGATACCGGCAAGACCTTCCAGGCTGTCATGAGGTTTGATACCGACGTGGAGCTCACTTATTTCCACAACGGGGGCATCCTCAACTACATGATTCGCAAGATGGCCAAGTAGGCCCTGGTTTCCTCGGAGATGGGCACCCTGGCCGCAGCGGGGAGGAAGCGCAGTGCCTACAGCCCGCAGGCCCTGGCATGGCAGTCTCTCCACCCCAGCCTTTCCCCTCCCCTCTCCTCCCCTCCACGCAGGGGCGCTTCCAGCCCAGGGTGCCCTAAGGTTCCGGTGCGCATCCTCTGCACACAAAATCAGCAGTCTCTACATGCTCTATTTTTGTTAATCTTTTTATCTTTTTCTAGAATTTGGAAGCTTAGAATGGTGGGATTGTCAGTTGTGCCAGGAAGGGAGAGCTGAGCCCTTTACAGTTACTGATCACAGAATATGTTGATTTTTCACTCTTAGCCTGTACTGTTCAGCTGAACACAAATGTCTCCTGCCCGATTTTTGGTTCCTCTGTTACCCTCTGCTCAATGAAACCTTTCCCTTGAGAGTCCTTTGCCTCTGCATACTGTCCCAAAGTTAACTGACAAGGCAGAGAAGAACTTTTTCACACTTCAAATCCTAGCCGTGACTGTGATCCCCTCGCCCCGCCTTTTCCTCCAGAGTGAATGATCCAGACACCTCGTGGATGGCTCAGAGGTTGAAATTTTTTGATTATGTACCTTTTGATAGATCAACACTGAAGAAATATGGAGGTTTCTTTTACTATATTCAAACATTTTCCCCAGAAAATGTTTCATGTATCGAGAGAACTTTAGATGTGGTTTTGGAGAGAGATGCAGAACATTTCTAATTTGAACACGATTAAATCTATTTTCAAGGAAAACTTTTTGACTTTGATACTGAATTCTGCTGTGTGTGTGCCCCTCGTTTTGGGATATGTAGAGCAGAGCAGATCTCAGACTGCAGGATCCTGAAGCCTGGATGACCTTCGAGTTCTCCTCTTTTTGTAACCACGTCAGTAATATGCAGGTTAAATGGCTGTGTTGAACCTCATTTGGGAGCAAACAAGAAGGTGGCAATAGCCTGGTAGCAGTAGCAATCATGTAGTCTGGTGAACGGATCATAATTTTTTTATTTTCATCTAGGTTATCTGCTCATTTTCATCACTGAAGTCATTTCAGGGCACATGTCTTAAGCTACTCCAGCTGCCATAATGAAATATCATAGGCTGAGTGACTCAAACATCAAAAATTTATTTTCTCACAGTTCTGGCATCTAGAAGTCCAAGATTGAGGTTCCAGCAAATTCATTTTCTGGTGAGAACTCTCTCTCTTCCTGGCTTACAGCCAGCTACCTTCTCACTGTGTCCTCACATGGCCTTCCCTTAGTGCGTATGCACGGAGAGAAAGCACGAATGAATGAGCTCTCTGGTGTCTTCGTCTTACAAGGGCCCTACTCTCGTGACCTTTTTTAACCTTAATTCCCTAGAGGTTCCATCTCCAGAGTCACAGTGTCCGGGAGGGCTTCGACATATGAATTTTGGGGGACAACATTCAGTCCATAACAGGGCACCTTAACAGCTTACAAATTAATCTTCTTCTAATGAATTTTAAGTCTCAACTTTAGCACTCAGGGTTTGTGTGCTGGTCAGTAGAACACCTAGGATCAAATCCTGTCTCCACCTCTTCCCAGATGATGGACAAGGCAGGTTATTGAGCGTCCTTGCCTCTGATGTCCTGGGATCTAGCTTCTGTTCATGAATAAAAATTACAAACAGAACCCTGTTGCACAAGAAAAGGCTGTGACCCTCAAATTAAGAGCAGTCCTAGGATAAAAACACTAAGAAGGGCTGAGAAAACAAACGTCCACCCCTCAGCCCTCCGTTGTGGAGCGTGGGAGCAGCCTGGTTCCCCACAATCAGTGCTTATGAGGAAACAGATTCCTGCAGCTATGACTTCTGGAATGGGGTCCCTTCACTTCTGGACTCCCCTCCTCTACCTCCAAACACACTATCTTGTTCATTGATAAAATGTCTCAGCCAGTGTCTTAAGGCTCTCCACAAGGCTTAACAAATAGACCCCTTTTACGTGGTTTCTCAAGAAGGCACTGGGCTGCTTACTCTCCAGATTAGAAGTGTGCTGCTCTATGCTAGACCCAGCCCCTCCTTCCTCTCTATGGGGTTCCCATCTCCTTTGTTCTTAGTTTTCTAAATTCATTCCTGCCTGATCCTTCCTAGGGAAACAAGCGCTCCTTGGTGTGCACAGTGAGTTCACTGACCAACTTTTTTAATGCAGCAAATAAGCACATGTGTCTTTAGCTATGGGACAGCCTTCGTGTAAGTGGAGAATAATCTAGGAGAAGGATATATTAGTCATGACTCTTAGTTGTAGTGTTAGAAGCACAATTCAAACTGCCTAAAGCAAAAAAAAAAAAAAAAATTGGCTCAAAGAACTTGAAGAACACGGGTGGCCATGGCGGCAGGTTTGATTGGATCTATGACTCAAAACAGGTTCCTTCCCTATCGTTTCCCCTCTCGCCCTTCATTTGTGACAGCCTCTTTCTGGGGCGGGCCGTGTGCGGGGGGATATGGCCACTGGCAGCTCTGGGGTCACAGTTAATAATTTGTGGTTGTAGAGATCTGTCTCCCAGTATTCCCTAGGCTAAACATACTGGAAGTTTGCTAGTCACCTAAATGAAGAACCTTATTTTTGGCACAGTTGGCCTTTCAGGGTTGAGTTAGGACAGTGTGGCGCACCCTGCAGGTTATGAGGAGCAACGGAGAGCTGCTTCTGAAAAACAGGAGCCAAGGTTCCACTGGCTACCTTCTTTGGAAGTTGTTAAATGTCATGACCACAAACAGAATTTAACATCCAAGTAGTTTTTGTTCACCCAGACAGCCTAATCATTGTGCACAAAGATTATAGAATTACAGCTCATTATTTTTAACAGGTATAATAATTTGCATCCCCAAAACTGAGATCTACTTTTTAAATACAGATTTGTTGAGTGGAATTTAGTTTTATTACATAATATAATAAAACAGAGTTACTGGTATGATCCTGAAATTAATACTCCAGTTTGGTTCTGGTTGTCTAGTCAGCATCAGGGCTGAGTATCTGCTACTGTGCTTCTACAGGATGTTAACAACGTCCCATGAATAAAAGGGGTCCAGGGTCGGGGTATCTGGGAACCACTGGGTTAAACGGGCCTTATTACCACAGAATTGACATAAGGACACACAATGGCAGTGTGTACTGGAAATCACTCATTTGAGGGGAGAGGGGGCAGCAGACAATACAGAATCCTATCTGCCCACAGAACTGCTTTCTTCAGAGCATCTCACAGCACTTGGGTTTCAAACGACACACTTGAGGAAACACTGACCTGATGGCTTGTTTTTAAATTCAAATAATAATGTCAGTTTTAAGGGTGGGAATCAGTTTACTGGCCTTGTGACACAATCAGGCATTTGACTGAAGGTGACTTTTCATTTCAGGTGAAAATATCACAAGGTGAGCACTGGTGGGGACCACAGAGTTAACAATATCGAGTGGTTGTTATCAGATTAT